GTGTGTGTGTGTGTGTGTGTGTGTGTGTGTGTGTGTGTGTGTGTGTGTAACCACCAGACATGTTCAGGCTGATGAAGTTTGTCAGTGTGAACACATGAAGGTTGATTCGGAGCGAGTCCACTGCAGCGAGCAGTAGATCTTGGGGTTCGTCGTCTGTAAGAATAAAGCATATCGTGGTTGTTGTGATGCTGCGCGGCTCTGTTGGCGGTCGTTTGTCAGCGGTAACTCGGGGCTGATGTCTCTGCTGGTGTTTCAGACTCCAGCCAGCAGCACAGCAGACACAGCGACACATCTCACAGGTGTCACGATGTGAAGCACAAAGGATTTTGGGCAGTTTGGGCTGATCTCAGGTGTTCAGGACGTTTGCTCCACAGGTGAGGAGGCTAAAAACTGAAAGCTGGGTCGCTGTGTGTTGTCTGAGCTGTGGGGGCACAGATTTCATCTCACTGTAAGTCGCTGCTTTGTAAAAGGATTTTAAATCTGTGGTGTGAGGACGTGCAGAGATCTGAGAGGACGACCGAGCAGTTCAGGTGTTTGTCTCAGTGAACTCGTCTCTTTCTTTAAGACAGTCAAAAATCCTTGTTACGATTTTCTGACTGCGGCTGTTCCAATGAAGCTGAGGCCTGTGTTCACATTAGCTTCTGTGTACGAACCCAGGACAGAGACAACATGCTGAGAAACGTTTTTCCAGCACCACACAAGCTTTAAATAATAATAATACATGTGAAACAGCATCAGTGTGTTTTTAGATTTAACACCAGCCCACACCTGCAGGCAGTCCCCCGCCAACCTCATGTCATGAGTGGGACTAAGTCTGAGAACCCACGCAGACACAGAGAGAGAGGCCGGGGGATTCAAACTAGGAACCACGTCACTGTGAGACGTCAGTGCTAACCGCAGAGAAACAGGCTGTTTTTAATGTGAGACGTGCCACACCACAACAGGAAGTCGCTGCTGGAGGACAGTTTTAACGTCTCTGTCCCAAATTACAGATGCTGATTCAGGCCGAGGAAGGGAACGTTTCAGACGCATGGGCTTCAAGTTTCTCACATATTCATTTCAAACAGCTGCAGAAAAACAGAGGATGCAACTTTAAAAATGAGAAAATGTTGGTTTGAGATGATGTGACGCAGAACCATGTCTTCATATCTGTGCACAGATTACTCATCATTTCAGCATTAGATAAGGGAAAACGGCAAAAGATACAAACAGGAAGTTCCCAGAGCAACGTGCTCGTCGTCCGATGCTCTCATGACTCTTGTCAGAGGAGCAGCACTGAGCGCGCTCACAGAAATGCTTCAGAAAGTCTCGTGGGTCAGCACGGGCTGGCGTTTTAAATTATTGGCTACATGCTGCACATTTCCAGGTACCCTACAGGAGCGCATCAGCGCGCAAACTGAGGACTGTAGAGCTGCTCAGTGTCTCCACCTGCTGGATTTCAAACCTGAGCTCAGCCTGTAACCAAGCTAGCTGTCAGGTTTGGACAGGAAGTCTGCGCGTTACAACCGCACATCACAATCTATTTCAGCCTGAGGGCTGCACCTCAGAGGGTTAGCGTGCGTGTGGATGACCTGAGAAAATGTCTGTGGGATTAACATCACACATTCAATTTAAAGACAGAAACGAGATCATATTTACTTCTTTAACCTCTCTCTGCTCACCTGCAGGGGGGTGTGTCTAATCTGGACTAAGCTACACTGTCTCCTCTTCCACAGAGCAAACCGACCAATCAGAGGCCCGATGAGACAAGAGCGGGTTAATCCACCGCACAGAGCGCCGAGCAGCACGCGTGCTCTGGACAGATGAACGAGTCAGGGTGAAACAGTGTGAGCGGCAGTATGATGGTGATCAACAAGTCTGAAGAAGACATGAGCAACTGCAGCATCAACCATGGGATCCACCAGCACGTGTTCTCCTGCGTCTATATCCTGGTGCTCATGGTGAGTGATGGAAGTATCTTAGCTTTTCGGAAGTATTTCCCGAGTGCTGATAAACGGTGCTCCAGGATCTCCATGTGCTGGATGGTGAATGATCTTGTGTTTGTAGGTTGGTGTTCCTGCCAACGTGTACTCGCTATACCACGCTGCCCTTCAGCTGAAGCAGAGGAACGAGCTGGGCGTTTACCTGATGAACCTCACTGTGTCTGACCTGCTATACCTGGCGTCTCTGCCTTTCTGGCTCCAGTACTTCTTTCAGGTAACGTAGAGACGTCCTCTCCGCTCGCTCTTCCCTCGGCGGTTCTTCACGGTGCGTCTGAGGTGCTCTGGTTTCAGTCAAAGTGTCGGTGTCATCACAGACAGTTAGCACAGCACCGTGGTGTCGTCCGCCCACCACAGTGGAAGGCTGTGGTTGGAGCTCGACCTCAGGTTCAGTGCCATTAAAAGTGCCACAAGCTGCAGTTCCTCTAGGATCCACCGGGGGCTCCAGCAGTGAGTCAGTCCCACAGACTCCCACAGTTAAACGTTCCTGCAGAAATAAACATGCATACATCCTGATGCACAAACTGTTTGGTCTCTGTAGATCATTTCCTCCTTTATAACAGCTGTACGAGGGAGGATGTGTTTGTCACTCACATTAAGGCTTAAAGTTTGCATTTTAGGGGCGTGGCCTCTCTGAGTGACAGGTGGATGCTGACACAGGTGGCTGTAGCTGCTAGCTGCCTGCTAGCTTCACCTGAACCGGACCGTGTTTGTGCTGTTGGAGCCTTTTGGTCCCTTTTAATGACATCATGTGACCAAAAACATGGCTGCTGTGATGTCACTGTGCTAACAGATCTCTCTAACGTCGTCCCGCTAACAGCGTCATGTGACCTGTGGCCGTGTTAAAGCTCTGCTTGGATTAAGTTGGTGTTAGGTGGAGGTGAACTAGGCCATTATTAGCAGTCTCTTGCCCTGACAGCGTGCGCGGGTGGAGTTCCTCCACCTGCCTGTCTTATTTGATCCACCTTCAGTCTGCTGTTGCTGTTTCAGGACGATGATTGGCGTCACCGAGAATGGCTGTGTCAGATGTGTGGTTTCCTGCTCTACGAGAACATCTACATCAGTATCGGCTTTCTGTGCTGCATCAGTCTGGATCGCTATCTGGCTGTGGTCCATCCTTTGAGGTAAGACGGTCTCCCGTCGTTTCGTCCTTCGTGGCTGAGATCAGGACGTCTTTGGGTTTATGAAGAAGTAAAATCACCACGACGCGTTCTGCCCGCAGGTTCACGGCTCTGCGCTCCATGAAAGCAGCGTCCGTCATCAGCGCCATCATCTGGCTGAAGGAGATCGCGGTGGGCGTGTTTTTCTTTCACCATAAGGAGCTCAGCAAAGATCCCAGTAACCACTCGCTGTGCTTCGAGCACTACCCCATGAAGTCGTGGGAACGTCCAATCAACTACTACCGCATCAGCATCGGCTTCATGTTCCCGCTGGCCATTCTGTTGGTACGGTAACGGCTTTACACGTTCTTTGTATGTTTCAGGATTTCTGCGTTGGTCTTAAAGAAGTGCAGAGAACGAGAGCTGGTTATGGTCAGGAAGCCACGCGTCTCCTGGCTCGGTGCCACAGCCATGAGTCCGCCGCTCTGGGTTAATCCCACATCTTCACGATGTTCTCAGTTATTTCATATTTGTAGTTAATTTGTTGTTCAACATTTTCAGCTGCTCACCATATACGATGACCTTATTTGGTTATTCAAACGCTTCCTTTTCTCGATGTCACGGTTTTTTAACTCTTCGCTTCACTGTTGAGAATAAATGTTGTTCATGTTTTTCTGATGAATCTATCCGCGGCGCTGGTTTAAAGTATAAATCCCTGAAAACTGGAGTCAAACACAGTAAATGTAGACGAGTACCTGATTCTCCTGTAACCCCGGCGCCTTGTTTTGTCTCGGTTAGATTAGCTACCTGTGGGTCCTGCGAGCGGTGGGCCGGAGCGCGGGAACGCAGCCGGATCAGAAGATGAGGATCAGGCAGTTAGTCAGCAGCACCATCCTCATCTTCCTCGTCTGCTTCTCGCCCTACCACGTCTTCCTGCTGGTGCGCACGCTGCTGGAGGAGGAATGCAGCTTCATCGAAGGTACCGTTTCACTCGCAGGAAACCGTCCGATAAATAAAGATGGCGCCGTAATACTGTGGTGACACGGTTCTTGTTTTTCAGCCATATTTAACTACTACCACCTGTCCCTGCTGCTGACCACCCTGAACTGCGTGGCTGACCCAGTCCTCTACTGTTTCGTCAGCGAAAGCGCCCGCCGCGGCCTCTACAGAGTCGTCTTCAGACCCGTCGCCAGGATACTCTGCTGCTGCCGTCGCCGTGGCAATGCCAGTCCCGCCAGTCCGGCTAACGACTCCCACGAGGTTGCCACGGACGAGAACAATGGCCAGCCGAACGTGACGCTGCTCACGCACAGCAATACACTGAACAACGGCCAAACGGACGCCGCCTGCAGAAACACGAGTTTAATCACACGGATGCACGAAGAAAGCATCAAAGCACGAGTCACAGAGAATAACACCTTGGAAATGTGTGTGACAGAGAAGCAGAAACAAAACCCCGACAGGACGGAGGGACGTGGGCAGAAATGAAATGATCAGCACGCCTCTGGGCACCAATGACCCGCCTGCACGACGAGGGCGGGCTGTACTCCGCGGGGGCGTGTCTGTGCTGATGCAACAGCCCAGCCTGAGGGAGGTCAGGGTGGATCTGAGGTCTGCAGTCTGAAAGCCCCCGTTACCCCTCTGTGGCGTCTGACACGGCGCAACATGGCTGACAAAACGCACACGAGGAGTTCTGAAATACTGCAGAGTCTCACGGCATCACGTCTAATAAGACTTCATCATGTTAGACACACATTCGCGTCTAATAACTCGCCTGAAAGGCTCCGTGTGGCAGCGATGAGGTTCCTGTCAAACAGTGAAACAGGAAGCAGACGTGGAAGAAATAAACCGAACGCTTTCACCGCAGCGCCGGAACAAACAACAGGACTTCCTGCACTTTGATTTAAAGAACCACACGTAACATGAAGGGACGCAGGAAGACCCGACAGAACATTAGAAACGGTTATTGATCAGTGATCAGATTTGACCCATCGATTGGCTCCAGAATGATTTTGACTTATCGAAGCAAATTCTTTAAAACAAGTTGAGACTTTGTGACCCCTAACCTTTGGTGACCTGTTAGAAAGTGTTTCCAGAGTTCTTGTTATCCTAATAAAACGTAGTTTATTATGACGCTGAGTCACACCGATGTTCCTCGCTGTCAGATAAAGTGCAGAGGATTCAGATTCAGGACAAATCTGTCTCTACTTGAAGCAGAGCTGATAACAAACCTCATCGTTGGCATCGGTAGACTTCGGTTATTGATAATGTGAACCTCACAGATTCCTTCATGTTTAAAGGCAGCAGGGTTTATGTTAGCATGAGGAGCTTCAGACGATGCAGCGCCTGTCCGCGGTGCTTCTCTGAAACAACAGCTGTTTGCATGTCGATCCACATGCTGCACGACCTGACACAGTCTGCCTACCAAACTATGACATCGCATTGCACTGATCACGGGTCAGTATTAGAAACATGTAGGACCAACATGGCTGCACCCACCTTACTGACAATGAAAGGTCAGGGGGCGGGATTCGGGACGAGGTGCACGGGAAGGTGACCGTGAGCGGGCGATTAGCCAAATTTCAGTCAGGTAACTTTTATTCTGGAAGCGTTTGGCCGGCGTGCAGCAGTCAGACCGCCTCCCATCTGTGAAAAACACGACTCACAGTGTTCTCTTCATTTTACTTTTAAAAAGAAAACTGTTAGTTTACACACACACAGACGCACACACACCGGTCACAGCATGTCTTCATAGCCTCCCTTTGAGCCCATTTCAGCACTTTAATGCTGAAGAAAGAGACTCACTCTGGGGTCTGGATGTTGCTCTCTGCATGCATGGAAATGCCTCCAAGTCTGAATACGTACATAGTAAGAATCTGTGTGTTGACTCTGTGGTTATAGATCTGTGTGCTGTAACCTGCACGTAACATGGAAGTGACAGAATATTTTTATAAAGCTTTAAACTGAGCACTAAACAGAAACGGTGTGTGTCTGTGTGTGTCTGTGCGTGTGTGTCTGTGTGTGTCTGTGTGTGTCTGTGTGTGTCTGTGTGTGTCTGTGCGTGTGTGTGTCTGCGTGTGTGTGCGTGTGTGTCTGTGTGTGTCTGCGTGTGTGTGTCTGTGTGTGTCTGTGTGTGTCTGTGTGTGGCACATAAATGAGCAATTTTGTGTGTTTTCCTGAGGGCTGGGGTAGAGAACATGTGTGTGTGTTTTTTAAATGAGTCTTGCTTGATTGTGATAGTCTATTGTTGTGCTACTCTGTGTGTGTGTGTGTGTGTGTGTGTGTGTGTGTG